CCCGAACATGAGACAATTTTCACCCTCCCTTCCAGATATCTCTACCGCTGCAAAGCCAAAGATTATTCAGACATAATGAAAAGTAAACATACGTCTTTCATATTTTTTTTTCAACTACGGGCGGACCGGTCCGCCAATCGATAGAATGGCACGTACAAGACAGGACTATAAATAAGTCACCAAGTCAGTGCTTAGTCTTAGTATATTGACGCAAAACATAATGAACTTGTAACTCATTGTCTTTCTGCGTCACATCTGTCGGCATGTGAGTTTTTTTGTTGCCTGTCAGATCTCGTAATAAGAGCCATTTGTTCCAGAGAACACTCCGACATTTGAGATTGTGCTTCAATAGCTTTAATGGCCGGGCGGGTCCCTGCGGACACCGTGTTATTCTTTCATTTCAATTTCCATTCATAATTGAATATCAAAGGGATATTAATAATAGCAAATCACAGAGCGGAGCGGTTATGACAAGGCAGGCTGGCTTTAGGTTGCGTGATTGCTAGGCTCGTTCAGTGTTTTGTTTCTTTCCAGGGTTCATCTTTGGTTCACAGTGAAATGGCGGAGTTCCTAATTGTTAGGCTCGTTCAGTAACTAGTTTCAGGGTTCGCAGTAATTTCAAATCAAGGCTGATTGTTAGGCTCGCTCAGTGTCTTTTCTTTATTCTGACCAATTCAATATGGAGTCAGTGTCCTTTAGGAAGCAGTCGACAGATGAATTTCTCTAATGAAACACCCTTTGGTTTCAAACGCCGTGCGGATCTTTTCATGAAAACACTATTACCTTTCGCACTTTCTTTTCCTCCGGACCAAGAGAGTTGTTCCGGTGTTCCGAGTTGCGAGCAAAATAACTGTCCGATGTCTGGCTGTTTCTATGTCCTGGTGAAGTCATCCCCATTGAATATATCCCGCAGGCCTCCTTTATCATTTCCGTTGGCCCTGGTCGGGTGTGAAATCTCAGTCCTATCCCCTTCTCAGAATGTGCGAAGTAAAATCGATGATCGGACAAACAGCAGATGGAGCCCAGGAAAAAGATTACTAAGATTTGTAAGACGGCAAATATTTTTTTGTCAGTGAATTGAAAAGAAAATACTTAAAGATGTACTGGACATGCTGTTTTTGAGTTTCACCCGAAAAAAATAGAGGCCTACTTTTCTTCTCGTTTTGCTATTTTTTGGAATGAAAAATTTGACTTTTGAATGAGAAATCTAACGAAGAGCCAGCCGGGTTTTTTTTACTTATAACAAATATCGGATTATTTGCAAAAGAATGCCGACAGATCTTTTCGTGCTTTAGAGGGCAAAAGCAGCCCAAAAAAGGTTTTCCCAGTGGGTTGAAGGTTTCTTGATGAATCAAATAAAACTTAGAAATTGAAAATAGTCGAAGAGCTCGGAGAGAGCACTTTAAGGTCCATCAGAAAATTGTTTCGAAGAGACTTCTGATATGATCTGTTAAACACGAGTGGATTATGGATCAAAATAACTGAGGATCATGTCATAAAATTTATGTAAACTCCCACCATGTGAATATTATAATAAACCGACTTATCTAATAAATCTTATTGACGTCATCATTCTCTGGGATTGCTGTGAGCTAATATTATCGGTATAGCAGCACAGGCTGAACATCTGTATCAATACAAACTCTCACTAACTGGTAGAAGGGAAGGATTTTTGTTATCATGAGACATGTCGGTGCACTTTTTCCATTTCAAAATAAACACCTTCAGCAGCTTTAGAGGCCGTAACGAATAGCATGAAATAATCATTTCGGCTGCATTTTCGCAAGCCTGTGGAAAATTGTAAATGAACACGTTCATTTCCCCTTTAATTAAAAAAAAATGAAAATCACATGATAACGCGGTATTAATATGTAGCATAAGTTATGTGTTCCTTTCATTATACACGTAGCATTTTTTTTCTGAACGACCAGAAATCGTCCTTTTCTCAATTTCGTTAGTATATCATAATTGAACAATTATTTTCATAATGAATAATCGAGGCAAATACCAAGAACATTTTGTGCTTCCGTGGAAGCGAAAGGGCATAGCTTATGTCTAATGTTGTTAAGCACATGCGTGTTTCAAAAACATTACATCAGAAACATGACATCAACATAAACATTTCCCAAGAATATAAATTGACCATCCACCATCCATTGCTCATAATATTAAGAACTTAATTCTCATATACACGGAGTCAGGCTTTATAAAGTGATTCCAAGTTGGGACTTCTCGTTATGTCACTAGCTGAAGCGAAGGTCAGTGACTATGTGAAGACATAATATGGTACCGTATTTCAAAAGATGAACAATTCGCCAGACTTTGTAGACATTTGAATCTTCGGATGAGTAATAAAAGTGCATCGGGTCAGGAGACCCTTACCCTTTCCTAGACTATAGGCTAGAAAAGATTCGGCATTATGAACACCGACATATGCGGTTTGTAACCATCATCAACCTGCAATGATTGAGCGGGAATTTACGTCTGTAAGGCCGTCCCGTCCACCTACTTGTCCTCTTGTTAGCTTTACCGCGTCTGCAGACGACAACACATTCGAGAAGAAGAAAAAAAGCGCGCGAACATTTGGCGCGAGATTTCAACACAAAGTGATCAAAATTAATTTCCCATCTCTCCCCCAGTGCCAAGCAGCTGCGACACGAATGTATCTGTTTACATCCAAACGAGGTCCCCAGCGCGCCTGGGCTTAAGCCAATTTTGCGCTTGGTGAGGGGCGGTAAATTGGCTCGAAGTGCTGTTGGAGAGAGACCAATGACCCGAATTCACCGCCAACACATTTTTAAGACCTGATTTTTTTTTTATTCAGAAAACATGTAGGTCTCTAGTCAACCTGCATAAATGAAAAATATTAGGTTATTAACCTGCGGTAAATAAACTTTACTTGAAAGGGGAACCACAGAGCTTGCTTTCAGATGAAAATAACAATTTCATTAATATCGAAAAGGGTCATCCTCCATTTGTCTAACCCTCACCGAGCCTGAATAGCCAAGCGATCCGAAATTACTTCCCTCTGGGAATGGACGGTAAATCACGGTCGAAATCTAATTTTATTTCAAACTCTTTAGCCAGTAAACAGCCTCAGGATTTGGCAATAAAAGGTATATGAATTTCAGCAATTGTGCATGCAGGTAATATCAGTGATCGTGGACGATACTCAAAACAATTGTACTTCTGTGTATGTCTGATCGGTACCAAAGCAACTTTTACACAATTTTGATGTTGCATTTGCAATGGCAGGCGCATCTCGCAAATTCGTCTTTGCCAAGCCACGGTGGCAATTATGACTTATGCGCAAAAAGTCATTTGTCGCAGCAACATCTCCAATAGAAAAGCACATTCCTTTGCATTAAAATGTCCTAAATATACTACTGTTTATGGGAAACTGCCAGCGCCGGCTCCGTTGAAATGTCAGCGAGCTGTCCAGTCAGACAAAAAAAAAGCGCCGCGGAGCATTTTCAGGCAGCCAGCTGGTGGTATTAACCCCCATTATCTGCTTGCAATCCCAGTTATAGAAGGTCGAATATCGTTTACTGAGCCCCAGGGAGGAATATAAACACGTTCACGGCTGAGGTCTTGGAATGATTTGGTAAATTATACAGTAAGAGAAAAATAAAGATGTGTGTGGAAAGCGGGACAACGCCTGCTGTTAGAAAAACACACCATGACAAAATTGGGTCGCACTTAACATGATAAGGTGTTTACTGTAACAGGGTGGGTGAAGCTATCGGACTTACAGTCTTGTTATCCAATCTGTGTTGCTGCGTTTGAGCAGAGGCGACGTTCAGGTGGCGATATATGCTTTGGTTGCTACTACAAAAGATTGTAAAGCAATCTTTTAAAGAAAATCGTTTGGTCTCTGGTAAACCACGGGAAAATTGGCGAAACTGCATGGGGTCCGACTCCCTTAGTCCGAGGCCACACAGAACCTCTCCGAAATTGTACGCACAAAAGAGGCAAACTATTGGTTAACATCATTTTACCTAATTATTTCACTCCCTCTGGCCTTGTCAAATGGTAAAAGAATGAATAAGCCAAATATGTTAAAGGGAAAAAAATTGGGTTTTTTAAGGCTGGTGAAAAAAAAAAACCACGAAACTATATTTCTGTTAAGCCCGACAATTCGACCAGCCGGGTGTCCTAAAACAAAGTGAAATGACCATGAACCATTAGGGAGTAAACTTATTAAATCCTTCATGCAAAACAGTTCGAATGATGAATGCTTATAATTAACGAGTCGATTGGTTACAATATATAACATCTACAACATTGATCGATCCATCTTCCTCAAATGTTATTATCCCTACACTCAGAAATTGGTACGATAAATTATTGATAATGGTACACAAATGATAATGGAACACAATGCGACTCACCGCACCCTTACAATCCATATTTGTATTACCAGCTGCAATTTGCATGTGTGTTCCGTTACTTTGTACTATACGCAGGCAGCTAATTTCCTTTATTAACACTTCTACCATTATTCCCTGCCGTCATTCGCACATCAATACGATCAGTTGTTTAGCTATTTTGAGGAAGCATAATATCTGGGTAACAATACAAAGATCGCACCTAAGTTACAGGGAAAGCTGGAACCTGAATTTATGCTTTAATAGGTGGACACTAAATTTTTAGAAATGGCAATGGCAAGGTCGTGGAAGCTGTCAGAACATTTTGAAATATTTTTAACTAAACAAATAACAGGCAAACGGCTTCTCATGAATGATTAATCTAGGTTGGTAAATTCAGTTTCTAGATATTATTCAGATTTGTCCTTAATTGACGCAAAAACCTAAAAACAAACAAATGGTCAAAAGACAGTAGGCCTGAACGATTCTTAACATATTTTAAAACCTGTATATTCAATTCGACCGTGGTCTCTGAATTCGATTTTGAATTTCTAAGGGCAGTCCATCGTATACCACATCATTTCTTCACTAGCCCAATTAAGAAGTTGATCTCTTTATTTTTCCTCATCTAAGGTTATGGGCATATTGCACCAGTCACCATACCAGGCCAGATATTCTGTATCCTCTACGCCTTGGGAGGGATACCACTGATGCTACTGGTGCTTACAAACGTGGGTCGGGTCCTAGCCAACGTAGCCAGACTACTCTACATCATGTACACCAGCCGGCTGTGTCAACGAATGCGGATGAGGTGTCGTCAGCGACGGTCAAGAAAGAGGGCTCGGAAGATGGCACGTCGAAGAGGTAAGGAAGACAAATGTTGATTCACACATCTGAGCACATTATCGAATACATACACAGCGAACTGCTAACCCACAAGAAAATGACCGACCACACAAAAGTCTTCTTGAAAAACACTGAAAACAGATACTCAAATTGCATGTTGATCTCAGCTGACTTTTGGCCCATTAGGTAGATTTCTTGACGAAATGTGTTCCATCCTGTGGGTCATTGAGTGTGAGCACGTGACCAATGGCGACTCATGGACAACTCACTCATGGTGACGCAAAAATAACCAACCATTTTGTTTTCCAAGTAATACACTCAAAGCATATGCCCTAAACTGTGTATATTTCTAATTTCTATTTTATATTTAAAGGGAATATACAACATTTGCAAACATCGAAAAATAAAATTACCAAGTTTTTACGAAATACCTTAATAGGATGTTGGTAAATGACAGTCTAAATCATCCTGTAAAATTATTGCACCTGGTATTCTGTCATTTTCAAGAAAAGTGGTATTTTTGTATCAATTTCCAACGCTGATCGGCCGATCAGCGTTGGAAACAACTGGCTTTTTTTTCAAATACTGGCCCCAATTGACCATTGCACTTGTTTGCAATCGATTACAAATCTATGAACGGGTACGAGCCAGCTAGACTGGTTCCCTGACCTTACAATTCCCCAATGTATGTAAACTGCTCTGTTTCTTCTTATATGGAGTCAGGGAACCAGACTACAGGAAAATGATCGTTTTTCTTGGTTTTTATAGCATTTTCGAACCCAAAACCTCCAAAAAGTCAGTGTAACTATATTTGCTTTATATTTCCAACCCCCAATTCCATCCATTTCTGAAAATTACAGCAAAAGCAAATGATGTATATTCCCTTTAATACTTTAAATTCCACAGTCAACAAAAAGCGAAGATTATCTTCATGAAGTTTGAACACTATCATTGTCATGCTCCGTCGAGGTGGCGCTATTGGAAAAGCTGGCGTGGCTCAGAAAAAAACTTCACATTGAATTTCATTTCATTGAGGGCGCTATTACACTTCTATAGCATGTCGAGGCAGAAGGCATGTTGTACACAACGAAGGAAGTTTACTTACCTCGGCCTTTTTTTTTTTTCTTTAGCAACTGCCTGTATACATGCCGGCACATAGGAAACTATGGCTAAAATGTGTTTGTTCTTTAAAGAATTACACTATAAAATAACTGATATGTGTTGACTGTTTCTATTTTGTACCGACAGCAATGGCTCGAAAGGATTCATCCAGGTCAAATCGCTCCAACCGCAGCCGAAGCAATAAGAGCAGTAAGTCCAGGACAGCGAAGAAGACAGCCAGCCAGGCAACCATCCGCGTGGACAGCGAGCCGTATCGAGAAGGCCGCCCAATGTCCGTCAACATGGAGCTCATCCGGAGCGATCCGCCTATGCCGCCCCCTTACGACGAGTCCAACGTGATTGAGGATAAGATTTCGGATACCCGTGAGAACGCCGAGATGTTCTCCGAGGAAGCTGATAAACCTAACATGTCTGAGGCTCCGGTGGCTCCGGTTGCTCCTGTGCATTTTAGCATCTCTCCTGCGGAGGATTTGCCGGTAGTGTTTCCCCTCTGCAGCCCTCCGAAACAGCCTATCGTGGGAGGGGCACCCAAAGCCGACATGGACGACGATTTCGATGATCTGAGCGATCTGGACGAGCCTGAACCGGAACCGGAACCGAAGGTAAAACCCAAGGAGCAGGGTGAAAAACCGCCACTGGAGTTTGAAACAAAGCTTGGTCTGAGCAGCAAATCACCTTCTATGGAGAATTTACAATTGACGCCATTACTGCAGCCATTAGCAAAGGAACCTGCGTGCACCCAGAGAGATCCTTCGTGCTCAGCGGCTGAATGCTCGATAACAATCGAGGAGGGCGTCGGTCATGAGGAAGTACACGAGAAGAAACTGGAACGTGCATCTTCCTCGATCACACTTGGGGAACACTGTGAGAAACGACCGCCTCCAAGGCAGTTTTCCTGCCTCGAACTACGACAGGTGGAGGAGCATAGGTCGATATCCTTCAACATAGAAGGTATCGAAGAGGAGGAAGAGGTGACGCCGAAAGAGGATGACGTCTTCCTCCCGAAGGAATCACAGAGTGTTAATGAGCTGAACTTAGAGGTCACTGGCAGTGCTTCTGACCTCAATAAGAACAAGAAGAACCGCGGTAAAGACAAAAATAAGAAGAAAAGCAAAAGCAAATCGAAAAAGGACGGTGAGTCTACGGGTAAGGCCCGGTCTTCGAAACACCGGAAAAACGCCGAGGTGAGAATTGTCGAAAGAAGGAAAAGCACACCAAAGAAATTACGGACAACAAAGCGGCCGGACATGTCGCCGCCTACGCTCAGATCGCTGCACTCAAAACAGTTGAAAATATTGAACTCGGCGACTGCGGTTCGCTTGGCGACGTACGACAAAGACTTTGGGAACAGTCGGGAGGACCTTACAACTCTCATCCCTGCCCTCAAACACGAGAAAGTGCGGTGGTTGTGTGAGTACGACCGAGGTGTCATTCGCAATCGAATGCACAATCCACGCGGCCAACGCCGACGACGAGTTCCAACATCAGACAGTGGCAGCTCGCGAAGTCGAAGCAATCGAGGTGTCCGTAGACGGAGAAAGAAAGGACGCGAGTCGGGGTGTACTACTCCTTTAGGTTCAGACCGTACATCAGCATTTGATAGTGACACTGAATCCACGGACACGGATGACCCAGGTGCTGATCCCCTTCAACAGGCTGAAATCCCCATCGGTCCAGTCTTAGCGTTCTTCTTCAGCTACATCGCGATTGGTGCCATCATGTTCTTCTTTCTCATGGACAAGTGGAACCTTTTCCAGTCTTTCTATTTTTGTTTCATCACGTTAACCACGATAGGGTTCGGAGATTACGTACCGGACGATCAACTGAGCAGCTTGCTGGCCTGCTGCATGTACACTCTAGTCGGTATGGCGGTCACGTCAATGTGCATTGCACTGATCATGAAGAAGTTCGTGGTCACTGTCAAACACATCGGGCGCAGGGTGGGAATCGTAGGTGAAGACGATTGACAAAGCGCCACCAGCGGTGAGGATAGCAACTCATCGCGCCAAGAATCTTCGTAGATAGCACTTCACAAAGACTGGAAAAAATATTACAATTATCATAATTATGGATGTATGTCTTCTTAGTATCGCTTTATACAACTAGATAGATCAAGCTCAATGTTATTAAGATATCAATCATTCAACCAATCAATTTTAGGTGAACGTTTAGTATCACGATTTATTGATAACAATAATACTTAAATGCCACTTTTTGCCCAAAGCAATAGTTTTTACAATATTATGAGTGGTACTGGTATGCAAAACAATTTTTCTAAAAAAGGGAAATTATCTTTACTTAATTTTGTTCTGTTTCTTTTTGGTCACATTCTAGGGACCTCGTTGAAAAAGACGAATCACTCAAAATTTTCCCCTCAAAGGTCTACGTTTGCCCAAGAAGAATGCTCCTGTCCTTTAAAGCAAAAAAGCATTAGCGCTCGTTCATTTTTGTCTATTCTTTTTCTGAGATCTAGTTGAAGTTAATACTGGATTGGTCTTTTACTTCGGTGTATTATAACCTCTAGAGGGCGCTATCACTGATGTACGATAGCCTTTCTACAACGCACATGTTCATTCGATTGTGATACACCAACATGCGTGCGGGTACGCTTGAGCATGCACGCAATGACTCATCGACAAAGTGCAACAGGCGTTTTCAGTGTTCTTGAGACAAATTGTTTCTACGCACTATCAGCCAATTTTTGAAAATTCTCATTTCAGGCATTTCAACTGTACACTTCATAAATAACATACACAATTTGGTACCTGTTGTCTGTAGGCGTATGTCATGCCTCTGGTTCAGTATTATGTGCGTGTTCATCGGAAGCAGTAACCACGATATGAACACGGATATATTCAGATATTATCTTGTATATTCAATTATTATTAGGGCTATGTTTGATTGAAATACTACCCTAATTGTCAGTCCTAATCAACGTACATTTCTTGTTTGTTTCCTCCACTCTGGCCGCCCCACTAATGCCAGCTCTTGGCAAAAAAACAGTAGATAGTTTCGTCGGATATCTTTCACAGTTACAGTAATTTTGAAACATACTCTACGCTTATTCTAATCGAAAACAAGTGATTTTATTTACGGTAAATTTACAACATGATCGGGACTAGGCCTTGGAAATGCCGCCCTCTAATCGCCTCATATGTACTAGTCAATGGTTTGGTTTGCTGCCCTCTACTGGCCTCATATGTACTAGTCAGTGGTTTGGTTTACAAAGTACTTGGACCCGACTCCTCTAAATCCAACCAGGCAATGGTTACTTTTTTCAAAGGTCGCCTCCCTCTTAGAAGCTGTTACCAAAAAGAATCGATATCAGGCGTCATATACAATCAACATCGAGCGACATCAGGATGTCTGGGGGTTAAGGGAATAGGTTAAGAGTCGGTTTTGTGTATGTAAATGTATGCATGTAGGGCCTACTACCAGACGAAATGTGACGTAGGAATGAAAGTTAAAGTTTAGCGGTTAATCACAAACAGAAACGCACGTCACAGAAGTCCAGCTCTTCTTTCAACTTAACGAGAGTAAACCTGCTCATAGTCTCGGGATTTTAAAAGGGTGTCGTGATTATGCAAACAGGGTCAACAATCAAAAGACGCTGGACGGCTCGATAGTTTGCTACTGGAGGCTTCATTCTAGTGGCAGCGTGTGTATGGTATATTTCAACAAATTTTAAGAAAAGTGTCGTGTGACTTTGACTGACGTTCAAAGCCCCTTCCTACTTTTTTTTTGGGGGGGGTTAAATATAGGGTGGTGGTGGTATAGAGATTTCAGCAGACATTTCTTTCTTGTAGACCTTTAATTGGTAAATTTGGGAAGAACTGGAGAGATCTTTCGTGCCGTATATAGTAATAACAAAAACAATTGAAACAATGTTCTCAATATCAAAGGAATATTGTAATTACTTCAGCGATAATTTGTAAATGGAATTAGAAAAAAGATACAAACTGTGGCTCAAATAGGGTCCAATGTTCAGGGACCACTAAGGGCCCATTTCCCCTAGATACGCAAGGGGGTACAAAAGACCTGTACTTTTCGTTGTGTGTGTGTGTATGACGATAAAAAAAAACTCATTATGAGCACAAAGGCATTGGACTCGTTAATTGCCTACGTCGGCGGCAAAACGTGTATCCCTGACGATAATTGCTGCCATTAGCAACCATGATTTGCCTCGTTTTCTGTCGATAAAGTGAAGTTCACAGAGACGATAATGTTCCCTGAAATGAACTCGCATTTTGGTGAGAGTGAAGGGTAGTTTCAATGATTAGTTTCTCCAACGGTACATGATAATTTTAATTGCGAAATCATTAATTGCTTCAAAAATGGCAAGATTTCTTACCTCGTTTGTGTGTTACTGTAAACAACTTTGCTACAAAATGTACTCAAGCTTACAGGCCGATAATTGATCTACAGACTGACTGACCCAACAAGTGACTGACCACTTCGTGACGACAGAGATCTGCTGGCCAATCAGAACTGACCACTGACTGACCTGCCTACTCTATGACTGCCTCAATAACCATAAAGTATGCTATCACAACTGGCTCAACGGCTGAGTGATTAAAAAGAGTGAGCTACTTACTGACTGACTGACTGACTCCCTGACCGACTCCCCCCCCCCCCCCCGCACGCATCAACTCACTCACTCAGTCAAACACTTACTCATAACTGACCCTGCGGCTCTCACAAAGACCTATTGACTTACTGACTCTCACTAAATTACTGACTCAATAAGTTACTGATCCCTGACTTTTCACTGACTCAACCATCACTGACTACATATCCGACTTAGTTCAAAGTGGCTAAATGACAGACTCAGTCACCAACGGATTTAGTGACTCACGCACTGACTTACTCGTCACTTATGACCTCATTATAACTGACTCACAAATTCAATCACAGACTCAATCACATGTTGATCGACTCTTAGATTGACTGACCGACAGATTAACTAACTCTCGCTTTACTCAACGGATTCACAGACAAACTCACTTTGACTCACTGACTCATTCACTGAATCACTCTCCGGCGTACCGGATGACAATAAGTACTAACTTTCTAAAATAACTGACTGATTTACAAACTGACCAATAGGGTGCCTCACAGACTGACTGACTGACTGATTTAACGGCTCATGACGAGAGACTAACGGAAAAACTATTGACCGACCGAAAAACACGTTGACAAACCGACCGATCAACTCAACGGCTGACAAGAGGACTACCTGAATATTATTGAATTGAAAAAAAAATAAACTGGCCCCTTACAGACTGACACCCGGACTATAAGATCCCTTCAATCCATTGACTGCATCGCCGACTCAAGAGTTTGTCGAGTGACAAGCTTACTGAATAAATGCATGACTGCGCAAGAAGGATCAATAGTTCGTAAAATGCATCGAGCGCGAGCGACGACGATAAGCTTTACAGAACGAATGATATTTTGTGAGTGCGATTCGAAGATACCGGCTCACGCGTCACGTACAAGAAAACACCAATCGTCAAAACGTATTTATCATTGGTTGCCGTGTTAATGGTCGCTTTATTCTACGTCAGGAATATTACTCCCTATAATATTTTTCATATTACTTATATCTGATCGAGTCCAACACAAAATGTATTCGAATTGTGTGACCTGACGAACTGTTTTATAGTCTTTCTTTTCGGGACTTTTTCATTATTATGTATCATATTATAAGAGAATCAATAACAGAAATTAGTCACGTCGCAGAATATCATTGGTCTGTGTTTTGGGGTAACTTAGGGATACAACTAATCACCTTTACGGAATTATTGTTCAAGGATTGAAAACATAAACTAATTTTGAGCCCATTTTCTGCATCTGATTCTAAGAGAGGAACAATTCTATACCGAATGAATTCCCCATTTGTATGTATAAATTAAATTGCAAATAAAAAACTGCTACGAAGTCAAAAAGAATGGTGGATAGTTCACTTTTCAACTTTTTAAATTTAGTTTTCACCCTTTTATCGAAAATGTATTATTGTAAATACCTGGGAGTATGTGGTCTGTTGTACACGTATCACTTGTAACATTATCAACAACGTTGTACTTAGTTTAGTTTTCAGCACCTTGAAATTAAATGCTTTTTATATATCTGTTTTTAAATTATTTACGTACCGATGTAAAAGCATTTTGAACCTGTATATTATTTAAGATAATAAGATAATCAAGATACAAATAGAGATGTTTGATATTTTATTCAATTTACAAGAATAAATTGTTTTTAAGGCATAAGATCATTCGTATCGACAGCAACGTTATTTCTGAGGCAAACGAAACTCACTAAACAATGGGGATTTATAACAGTTAAAAAAAAATGCATTTTATGTATTGTCTTAAAGCGAAGCCACTTAAAGAAACTTTCCGAAACATACATATTCAAATTTGGCAAAAAGAAAAAGAATATAAATGAATAAATGAAATTTCAAATTTAAAACTGAAATAAAGTCTTTCGGTTTTTCTATTTTCATTCTTATCTCATTTTTGTACTTTTTTTAAATGAGGAAAGTTCACAATGCGCCTAGTCGAAAATTGCTACCAAAAATCTCAGGTACGTGTATTGTCCTTAATAGGCCTTACTGTTTCTTTTCTGCCCACGGTGTCTAGATAATTACAAAAGACTCATGCCGCCTCTTTTGCCAAGTATTTATTGTGCTCCTCACTTCAACTCCTAGAAGTCCTTTATCTGCCTCTATATGCACGATAAACATAAAGTAACTCTGCAAAAAATGGAGATTTGTGCGGTGCGTCTCAAGACAGATCCAGCTGTTTCTATCAAATTCATCGCGGTGACTCGCACGGATATTTTTTTGACAAACATGATTATGAGGTTTCATAAACCCGGCCATTGAACCTGTGGTGGTTCGGTTCGTGATGGGAGCTGTCTATCGTATGTTTTTCTGTGGCCTTGCCCTAATACCCTCTGGCACCTGCCTCCTGCAGAGGAAAAATTCCGTCAGCTTTAATTCCCCGACGATAAACACTTTACCTGGTAACAGTATTCTCGCCCCGTCTCGCCGAGAGAAACGTTACTGAAAATGATACTTTATTCCCCCCGCCATGTCGTCCTCGAACTTGGAAAGCGTTGTAATTTTTTTGTGCGCGATGCAGAAGGTGTTACTGGTATACTTGAGGTGCTAGGGTGGGTACGGACGGATCCCCCTCCCCATAGCCCCTCCCACCAATAGGCACACGAGATCTGGTATGCTCTCCGTAAGGGTTAATTGTACTCAAACATGACGTGGTTATCAAAAGGAAATGTGGTAAATTTGGGGTTTGTTTTCCAAACTGGTCAAAGTTGTTTCCTCTATTGTGGGAGACATTTTGGAAGAATAGTTCGATCGGAGATAAGTTATTTGCGCCCATTGTTAAAAAAAAAAAAAAAACCCAAAACAAGCCTGCGATTTAGGTAGATTTCGGTTTTTCTTTATAAACACCTCTACTTACGTCGAACTCAGCAGAGTCGGTTGTAGGTAGTAGAATGGAATTACCTTCCCCGGGCATTTACAGGTAATAAAGTTGATTATTTACATATTCCTAAAAACAGTCCCAAATTTATTTCTTAGGCATAATGCGCAACATATCTTAAGCTCCGTTTACTACCTTTGATCTATGTTCACTGCCAAACCTCTGCACCCCCTGAAAAACCTGGACATGAAAACCAACAAACAAAATGTACGCCTATCGTCTTCAAGATAATGTGCGTCCATCCTTAATTGGGGAAACAATTCAGTAATCTTTTTATAGACTACCGTCCAACAAATGCGAAAGATATTCCCTATATAGTAGCTAGCTAAAGAAATTGAATTAACATCCTTCATCATGTTAGTCGCAAAACAATGATACAGTGTTACAACGGCTTTTAACCGGCACGCTCAATCATGGAAAGGTTTCGCATTTCATTCTGTCACCTTGTTTTAGAGCTAGCATTATTTCTGCTATTAAAATAGAATTGGATTGTTATTAAATGCAACCGCAGAGTACAGTATTTTTGGCCTTGGACGTGTGAAATCCGTCAGCTTATGTTAACCTTATTCGGGTATTGGTGCGAGTAAGTCATATTATCAAAAGTCAAGCAAAGGCGAATCTAGTATCCATCATGAGTGCTTTGCTTGCACTGGTCTGAATGTCATGCTTATATTGGTGATCTCGTTCAAGGTTATACAGATGAATTAAAGAGGTTTCTTGTCCAGGATATTTTGAAATTCTTGTAATATTTTCACATCTCTGTCCCGAGAAAACAATTCGGGACGGTAGGGGCACCCTGCATTAAACGTTTGTATTTAAATAGAAAAGCTACATTTAAAACGGAAAATCATTTGCACAACTAGTCCAAGTAAACCCCGTGGAAATTAACAGTAGCGCTATTTATACATGGATTGTCTGAAAAGCAAAAAGAAATACCATACAAATTGAGTTGGTTTTTTTTTTTAAATGCGAGACAAAATGAACAAATCGAAGCTATATAGCATATTTCTGCGACGTTTGTATGAGAAAATTGCTAGTCCGGTTGCCTGCATTAAGTGTGTTGACACTACAGTGCAATTCACCCATGCCGATCTAAAGTGGGGAAAAAATCTCTCGTTACACTTGGTTGATAAATCTAGTGAGAATGTGGCTGAACGCACAATTTGTTTTATCAAGGTCAAGAGGGAAGAACAAACTGCACCTGACAAGCATTAACTTCGCCCAGGTTAAACCAATGCATCAGTGCAATAGACTATT